GCCACTCGCGATAGGAATTGGGATTCCTCGCCAAATCCTTGTTGAGGACCGTGAGCTTCACCCCTGGCATGCGTCCATCTCCTCGAAACTGCAAACCACCTCCGTCGGCGCCTGCTTGTTCTCCTGCCTCCGGCATCGTGTGCAGGAGATCCCAACTGCTATCTGCGGACTCGCTGTCCGTGCTCTCCGTCTCGTCAGTGTCTGTGGCCTGCTGCGGCCACTCACTCTATGAGCGCTGCCCACTGACTCCGTGAATGATAGGAACCAATCGCTCCCGCTACCAATTCGAAGATCTGCTTGGAATGAAAAGAATGCTTCTTCTGCTGCTCGCGCCGAGCTTGACCCAAGGCCTACGGATCGAGTCTGCTGCATGCTGAAGCTACAACTGCGTGCTAAAGCTACAAATGCGGCTGCTTCTCACCCTCCTCCTCCCCATCCTCCTCCTCCTCCTCCTCCTCCACCTCCTCCTCCTCCCCTCTCCCCCTCCCCCTCCCCCTCCCCCTCCCCCTTCTCCTCCTCCTCCTCCTCCTCCTCCTCCTCCTCCTCCTCCTCCTCCTCCTCCTCCTCCTCCCCCTCCCTGCTGCCCCCCGGAAGCCCGCCCAGGAGGCCTCCCCGCGGCGCGGCGCGGCGCCCCTCTCGGCGGGTGCCTCCGCGGCAGGAGCGCCTGGGCCGACGGGCGCCGTGCGGGCGGCGGCCTCGGCGGTGCAGCTCGTGCTTATAAGGGGGGGGGACGGCCGATCGTGCGCGCGCTCCGGTGCTCGCCCTGCGGCCGCCGCCCCGGCCCCGCCCGCGGCCCTCGCCGCGGGAGGCGTCGCCGGAACCGGGGGGGGGTGGACAAGAGAGGGCGGATATCATGGCGTGGACCATGATACAGTCGGGGCGTTGACCTAAGGAACCCAAAACAAGGAACGAAGCCCCTTTTTTCCATAAGTTAACCTTCGATTTCCTGTCGAAAACATAAGGAAAGCCTGAGGCAAGCTGCGAAACACTTAAGGAACGCGGAGCCCCTCCCCAACTAAAAGGGTTCCTTCTTCAGGGCCCCGACTGTAGTTCGCCAGATCTCATGATATTTCACCAGATCTCATGGCGTCCCTGGGCCCCCCGAGATGCTCGCCCATCAGGATTTTGAGATGTCCTCGTTTGCCCACTGAGTCCAAAGCCTCGCGGCGCCAGGCCTGGAGGGGTCCCTCGTCAAGACTCTCTTGATGCAGCTCGTTGCCCACTGCTGTGGCCAGCGAGTCTGGGACCAATCCCAGCACTTCGAGCACACGTATTCCCTGTTGCCTCTCCGTCGTGCTTGTGGGGCTGCGCAGGGGACGGGTTTTTGAACTCAAAAAACAAGTCTCTTGAATTCTAGAACTTATTTCCCAGTTGCCTCTCCGTCGTGCTTGTGAGGCTGCGCAGGGGACCCCCGTCTGACCGAGATTACGGGTGCGATGACCATCGCGCCTCCGTGCGCCGTGGTTGCAGTCACCCAGGCCACGTGGCTTTGGTTGGCGGCGTGCAGAGGGGGGTAGGGGGAGGGGGGAAGGCTTCTTAGAAGGAGGCCGCTTCTAAGAATGCGCCGGCTTTACATGTATAGAGAGGGCCCGCGCCTTCTAAGCAGCAGGGGTGCTTCCACGAAGCCTTCCCCCTCCCCCTACCTCCCTCTGCGCGTGGCCGCTTTGGGAGCCGACGTCGGCTCTCAGCACTCCCTTCGGCTACACGCGAGAGCGACCATGGGCAAGAGTGACCCGTGGTGCGCGGCTTTGGGGGGCCCTGGGAGGGCCGAACGCGAGCGCGCAAGACGCTGCGGCCAACCCGCAGAGTGAGGATGCGCGATGAGGACGCAGGGCCCTCGGAAGCCGCTCCCGAAGTTTTCGAGCGGGGCGCGGCCAACGAAAGTGGCCAAGGATGCACCGAGTAGGCTTAAGTCGGGCCTGTCCCCCTGTGGGGGGATCTTCGACGACAAATAAAGAACACCCCCAAACATAGTAAAATCATCCCGGCAAAGCAACCCAACAGCGATGTGTAGGAGCATATCTGGAAGCATTCCCCTTAAGATTCAGATGAGAATCCTGTTGTAGAATTCTGCTGTTCTCGCAGTCGTAGTCGCATTCGCGATGGCAGTCGCAGTGGCAACGGCAGTCGCAGTCACAGCCTCAGCCTGCCTCCGCCTCAGCCTCAGCCTGCCTCAGCCTCAGCCTGCCTCAGCCTCAGCCTCAGCCTGCCTCAGCCTCAAAATCAGTCTGCATTCAGCCTCGGCCTCAGCCTCAGCCTGCCTCAGCCTCACCCTGCATCAGCCTCAGCCTGCCTCAGCCTGCCTCAGCATCAGCCTGCTTCAGCCTCAGCCTCAGTCTGCCGTCGGCCTCGGCCTCAGCCTCAGCCTGCCTCAGCATCAGCCTCAGCCTCAGCCTCAGCCTGCCTCAGCCTCAGCCTGCCTCAGCCTCAGCCTGCTTCAGCCTCGGCCTCCTCAGCCTCAGCCTGCCTCAGCCTCAGCCTCAGCCTCAGCCTCAGCCTGCCTCAGCCTCAGCATCAGCCTGCCTCAGCCTCAGCCTCAGCCTGCCTCAGCCTCAGCCTTCAGCCTCAGCCTCAGCCTCAGTCTGCCTTCAGCCTCGGCCTCAGCCTCAGCCTGCCTCAGCCTCAGCCTGCATCAGCCTCAGCCTCAGCCTCAGCCTGCCTCAGCATCAGCCTGCCTCAGCCTCAGCCTCAGCCTGCCTCAGCCTCAGCCTCAGCCTGCTTCAGCCTCAGCCTCAGTCTGCTTCAGCCTCGGCCTCAGCCTCAGCCTGCCTCAGCCTCAGCCTGCATCAGCCTCAGCCTCAGCCTGCCTCAGCATCAGCCTCAGCCTGCCTCAGCCTCAGCCTGCCTCAGCTCTCAGCCTCAGCCTCAGCCTCAGTCTGCCTTCAGCCTCGGCCTCATCCTCAGCGTGCCTCAGCTTCAGCCTGCATCAGCCTCAGCCTCAGCCTCAGCCTGCCTCAGCATCAGCCTGCCTCAGCCTCAGCCTCAGCCTGCCTCAGCCTCAGCTCATCAGCTTGCTTCAGCCTCAGCCTCAGTCTGCCTTCAGCCTCGGCTTCAGCCTCAGCCTGCCTCAGCCTCAGCCTGCCTCAGCCTCAGCATCAGCCTTCCTCAGCATTCAAAATGTGGCCCGGGAATGGAGTTCTGGGAACTCGAAGAACACGAAGTGGCCTACAGTTGGCTCCGGGCATTCAGAATCATGCCCAGGAATGGAGTTCTGGGAACTCGAAGAACACGAAGTGGCCTACAGCTGGCTCCGGGTATTCAAAATGTGGCCCGGGAAATTGAGTTCTGGGAACTCGAAGAGCGCGAAGTGGCCTACAGTTGGCTCCGGGCATTCAAAATGTGGCCCGGGAATGGAGCTCTGGGAACTCGAAGACCACGAAGTGGCCTACAGTTGGCTCCGGGCATTCAGAATGTGGCCCGGGAATGGAGTTCTGGGAGCTCGAAGACCACGAAGTGTGTAACTGTTGGCTAAAAAAAATTCCCGGCACCCTCCCCCGGATCGCGCCCAGACCCCCCTGGGGCGTCATGATGCTCTCTTTGACCCTACTCGAAACCTATCAGTCTTCGCTGTTAGGTAAAAATAATACAAAAATAGCCTGGGGACTATTTTTGGATTATTTTGGGGCCTTTCTGGGGTATTTTTGGGGTATCTTTTATTTCTCATCGAAAATCCCCCTGTAGGGGGACAGGCCCGACTTAAGAGGAGGCAGGGATGCAAGGGTACCCTTGGGAAGGCTGCCCGTCCTCACTGTGCGGTTCGACTGCACTGTCGCACCGCTTTCGGCAATTCGGGGGGGCCCCATGGGGGCCCGCACCGACGAAGGGGCCCTGGGACACACAAATAGATACACACAATCTAAAATATTCTCCCTGTTTTCCCATATCTTCTGGGTTCTCGTCTTCCCCCCCTTGCCATAGTTTCCCATCTTTTCTGGGGAATCGACGATTCATTGTGTCTGTGTGCTTTTTTTCCTTCCCGAACCGAAAGGCCACTCCGGCGAAGGGTCACTCTTACGTCCAGTCGACCCCTGCTCGCGGAGAAGACCGGCCGGGAGCCGAGCGCAGAAAAAGCCCCCTTCGGGGCCTCTGCACGCGGCGTCTCTCCGTGGCCACGTCGCCCAAGTGTCCGCCTTCTCTTGGCCGGCGACTCGCCAATCGCTCGGCCGTCCCTGCCCCGTGCATTTGTTGGTTTCGTGCGTGCATGTTTCGTAAGAGGGTCCAATCTGCTCCTCGATGGCCCTCGCCGAGAAAGAAACGCACACGTCCGAGCGATGCCAGTGCGATGTCTGTGTAGACTGTGCCTGCGGCACATCGGCTGGGGGATAGTGGGGGTGTCTGCGGGAGGCCGCCCGGTCTGGGGACGATCTTAGGCCCAGTCACATTTGCCCTCCAGGAGGTCCCTGCCTCCCAGATCCCATGCTGCAGTGACAGTCCTCCTCGCACTCGTCCTCCTCTTCCCCCTCCTGCGTGCTCATCATTCTCTTTCTCTGCCTCTTCCTCCTACGTCCTATTCCTCTTCTGGTGCCTCTTCCTCCTCCGCCTCCTTCCCCATGATTGGGGGGGATAGCAAAGGGGGGTTTGAGAATCAGCTCACGTAGCTGATTTTCCCAGCGCCTCCCAGCGCTGGGAGGTACCCATGTATCGAGGACTGGGCCGCGGCGGGGCCGAAACCAGCTGCATGCAGCAGATTTCGTAACCCCTCCTTTCCCTATCCCCCCCTTTCGTGCGGATCGAGACAGAAACACCAAAACTCGGAGGTCCGCGCGGATTTCTCGGATCGGCGCGGGGCCCCCCTCCCTGGCGCGCGGAGCGCGCCAGGGGCGGCGCCCGAGGCGCCGCCAAGGGGGGGTCCAGATCGGATCCGAGAAATCCGCGCGGACCTCCGAGTTGTTATGTTTCTGTCATTCCTCGTTCCCCTAATGATCCCTCCCCATCCCTGCTCATTCCTCCTCATCCTGCTGTGACTCGTGACGCCGCCCCCGCAGCGGTCTGCCGGAGGCCTCATCCATGACCCGCAGCTGCACGACGTCGTTGGCCGTATGGATAGGAACCTCTTTCGTGCAGTTCCACTCGGGCTCAAGGGAGCATTTCACCTGACAGATGTACAGAAGGGGGGGAGAAATGCAGACGATCAAAACACCATGGGAATACTCTGACAAGGACCAGCCGTGCTGAGTTCGGACCTTACTTCGCCCGCTGCTGCCATCCTTGCCCTCCCTGCTCGCTGCTGCAAGCCCCTTCAGGTCTGCTGGCAGCGGCGGCCGCATCAGCACGCGCACGGGTCCGACACCCCTCCACTCCCTCCAATGGAGTGCCTACAGTCAACCCGCAGAGTAAGGATGCGCGATAAGGATGCAAGGCCCTTGGACGCCCATTTCGAAGCGTTTCCAGCGGGGCGCGGCCAACGAAAGTGTCTAAGGATGGACCCAGGAAGCAAGGATGCAAGAGTACCCTTGGGAGGGATGCCTATCCTTACTCTGCGGGTTGACTGTATTGCACCGCCTTGGGCATCCCTTTGGGGTGGGGCCACTTGCCTGAACACAGACGTCTCAAAGTCAGCCTGCCTTCCGCAGTCTTAGGGCGACACTCGGAGGCCAGTGAAGCAGCCATCAGACCAGCGTGGCAACCTGGGCCGGCACGGGAACGAAAAGAGTGGACCAGGAACTTGCCTGAGATGGCTCACGGCACCCTTGGTTTTTGGGAGTCTTGGTGGTAAGAGCTTGTTACGTCACCGCTCTCTGTTGGGAGCCCTGGTGTTCAAAGACTGTTACGTTGCCGCTCGCTCCTGGGAGCCTTGGTGTTGAGAGTTGTTTAAGTCACCGCGCTCTGGGGAGTCTTGGTGTTCAGAGCTTGTTGCGTCACTGCTCGCTGTGGGGAACCATGGTGTTCCTTAGCGTCTCTGGGGTTTCTTGGGGATCGATTGGGGGCCCTTTTGGACCGTTTTGGGACTCTTGGGCCGTCTTTGGGCCAGCCCAGTCCCTACACCCAAGCAGCCCAGACCCCATACCGCCTCTTCGGGCCTGCTTGGGAGTCTCTTGGGGCCCTCTTGTGTCTCTCTTGGGGTCGTCTGCGGGCCCTCTTGGGCCGTCTTGGGGCCCTCTTGGGCCGCCTGGGGGCCCTCTTGGACCGTTGTCGGCCCCTTTGGGGGGGGCCTCTGGGGCCGTCTTGGGACGACCTTTGGGGCCTCTTGGGCCGTCTTGGGACGATCTTTGGGGCCTCTTGGGCCGTCTGGGGCCCTTCTGGGACTGAAAAGGGGAGAACCCCAAAAACCTGCAAAAAACCTATGGAAATCAATGTGTTGGGCCTTCTGAGGTTCTCTCGAGGGCCCTCTTGAGGGCCTCGGGAGCCGTCTCGAGGCTCTCTTGAACCGTCTGGCGGCCATCTGAAGCTATCTTGGGGCCGTCTTGGGGCCCTCTGAAGCCGTTTTGAGACCCTCTTGGGCCGTCTTGGGGCCCTGGCCGGTTCACCCGAAAAAAAAAGAAACAGGCCATGGGAGCCGCCCGGGTGCCGCTTCACTGGAAAAAAGAAAAGGGACACGCGGCCATTAAACACCTTGCCCCCTCCCCTGGACACCCACCCTAAAAAGGCTTCGCCCCCTACGAAACATCTCTCGCTCGTACCTCGTTCTTTCCGTCATCACAAAAACGTGCACACGAAATACCGGTTCATGCTGACTGCACATACGAAGGATCGAACTCACTCCCGCCCAACCTCACCCGTTCCCCGCCATCCATCGTTGGCACACCTACCGCACTGACAGCCGTGAGAGGAGCAGGGAGGAGGGGTGAGACAAAGAAGACGAGGACGAGACGGGTGGCATGACCAGGAAGACGGCGAGCATGTTGGCAACTTCTTCGCTGGATGAGGTGGCGGCTTTATGTGCTCCAACCGTCACAACCATCACCCCATTTGATCCTCCTCATCTGTGTCTCACTCCTCTTCCTCACTCTCCTGCTCAGCCCAGTCTGCTTCATCATATTCGTCGTCATCATCAGCATCATTACCACCACGACCACCACCACCACCACCACCACCACCACCATCATCATCATCATCATCATCATCATCATCATCATCATCATCATCATCATCATCATTATCATCATCATCATCAGCAGCAGCATCATCATCAGCAGCAGCAGCATGGGTAATCATCAACCACATCCTTATCCTCAGCATCACAATCATCATCAGCAGCAGCATCAGCATCAGCAGCATCAGCAACATCATAATACTCGGCATCATCGTCATCATGATCATTGTCACCATCATCATCATCAGCATCATTATCATCATCGTCATCATCATCAGCAGCAGCATCAGCATCAGCATCATCATAATCATAATCATATGGAGTACCATCATCATTAGCATCATCAGCAGCATCATCACCATCCAACTGCCCGTCCTCCTACACACCATAACCATCATTACTGTACCCATAGTCAGCATCACGAACCTTAGCATCAGCATCACCATCATCGTCGTCATCGTCATCCGCATCATCACCAGTACCATCATCATCATCATCATCATCATCATCATCATCAGCAGCAGCAGCATCATCATCATCATCATCATCATCATCATCATCATCATCATGATCATCATCATCATCATCATCATCAGCAGCAGCATCATCATCATCATCATCATCATCATCTCCATTGCCATCATCAGCATACTCATCATCAGCAGCATCATGGTCATCATCATCAGCATCATCCTCATCATCATCATCAGCATCGTCATTTTTACCACTGGCATCACCATCGAATCAGCCTCTTCACCATCACCATAATCATCATAATCAGAATCAGCATCATCATCATAATCGGCATCATCATCCACATTATCATCACCATCTTACTCATCACATCATCAGCAGCAGCATTACCATTATTATCATCCTCAGCAGCAGCAGCATCACCATCAACATCAACAACATCATCACCATCACCACCACCACTACCACCACCGTCATCATCACCATCATCGTGTCATCAGCACCGTCGTCAGCATCAGCAGCAGCATCAGCAGCTGCAGCTGCAGCAGCAGCAGCAGCAACATCATCGTCCTCCTCCTCCTCCTCATCATCATCATCATCTCCCTCCTCCTCCTCCTCCTCCGCCTCCTCCTCCTACGGAGGCACGAGGGAGCGCCGCGCCAGCCCTACTGTCCAACCCCATCCTCACCTCCGCCCGAGCCCCCCCCCCCCACATTGACCTCTGTCTTCCTCCCTCCCTACCTGCCCACCGCCCTCCCTCCCTCCGTAGCTAGCTCCCCCCATCTCCCCCCCTTTCCCCTCCCCGCACCCGGGGGGATGCATCGACCCCCAATCGCCCATTGATCGCCGATAGGGGCCCGATAGCCCCAACCTGCACAGGAAGGCGCGGATTCACTATCGGGGGCCTATCCGATCTATCGGCGATGTACCGCCGATTCCAGGTCGATGCATCCCCCCCTGTGCCAGCCATTGCCCCTTAGACAAGGGGGACGGGGGGAGGCTGAGCCGGTGGGTGAAAGTGGAGGAGAGGGAGCGGACGTAGCTAGGAAACAGAAGGGAAGGAGTCGAGGCCCCCGCCGCAGGCGTGCGCTCCAACTCGTTGTCTTCCACCAAGACGACGACATACGGGTCGGAAGATGCCTGGTCTGAGTTGGGGGGCAAAGCAACCCCGAGGCCCCCTCCTCCGACACCTCCTCAAACTCAGCCCCTCGTCCTGCTCCACCACCACCACCATCATCATTCTCAGATCATCATCACCACCACCACCACAATCATCACCACCACCACCATCATCATCATCATCATCATCAGCAGCATCACCACCACCACCACCACCACCATCATCATCATCATCATCCTCATCATCATCCTCATAAACATCATCAGAATCCTCATCAGCATAATCATCATCAGCATAATCATCATCGTCATCATCATCATCATCATCATCACCACCACAGCTCATCATCATCATCAGCATCATCATCAGCATCATCATCAACAACACCATCATCATCATCATCAGCATCAACATCATCATCTTCATCGTCATCGTCAGCGTCATCACCGTCATCAACATCAGTATCGTCATCGTCCTCTTCATCATCAGCACCACCATCTCATCCTCATCATTCTGCTCATCATACTCATACTCACCATCATCCTACTAATCCTCCCCATCATCGTCATATTACTCGTCCTCATCCTCACCATCCTCAGAATCACCGTCCTCAGCATCAACTTCCTCCTCATCATCATCTCCACCACCATCATCATCATCATCATCATCACCATCAGCATCATCGCCAGCATCATCAGCATTAAGAGCAGCATCCTTACAATGATCATACCCAGCTTCATCATCATCATAAGCAGCAGCATCACCAGCATCATCATCATCGCCATCATCAGCATCACCATCATCATCATCATCATAATCATCATCGTCGTCATCGTCATTGTCATCGTTATCACCATCATCATCATCGCCATCATCCCCATCATCACCGTCATCACCACCACTATCTCATCCTCATCATTCTACTCAGCATAATCATACTCATCGCTATCATACTCGTCCTTCCCATCATCGTCATATTACTCGTCCTCATCCTCATTCTCCCCCTAATTATCATCCTCAGCATCAGCTTCCTCCTCCTGATCAACACCATCGCCGTCATCGTCATCATCATCACTACATCCCCAGGCCCAAAGTTGTTCCTCTTGCACGGGAACGCATGGATCCATTTGGATCCAAATACGTGTGTGCGAGAGTCACGTGGATCAAAGTTCCGTGTCTTCTGGATCCACTTGTTTGGCGTGGAAGCTTCGTGGATCCAATTCTTTTCCTGGAATAAATTCATAATAATAATTACTGCAAGGGTCCCAAGGAGAAATGGATCCACGGAGCCTTGGACCTGCAGCCCAAGCTATATCAGAGAAACTATGGATTCAGTTTGTGTCGGGGTTTCGGTTTTCTGCTATGCCTGGCGGCCCATAGGGGCCAGACGGATCGCGAGGAGGCGGATGAGGAGGAGGAGGAGGAGGAGGAGAAGGAGGACGAGGAGGAGAAGGAGGAGGAGGAGGAGGAGGAGGAGGAGGGGCCATCTGTGGTTGTGGCTCCTCGCGTTTCTCCGGCCTGCCTCTCTCCCCTCCCCCTCCTCCCTCTCTCCCTAAACCCCCCTCCCTCCTCCTCCCCCCGCCCCTCCCCCCGAAATGGGACGAATTACAACCGACTTGTCCCAATTCCAACCGTTCGGAGCGAATGGCAACCGTAAATGGGACCAATTACAACCATGGGATCTTCAGAAGTACTTCTTTCTTCTTCAGAAGTATTTCTTTCTTCTTCAGAAGTACTTCTTTCTTCTTCAGAAGTACTTCGATTCCTTTGGATTCCTTATGATTCCTTAGGATCCCTTAGGGCCCTTAGGATTCCTTAGGGTCCTTGGGATTCCTAGGGATCCTTAAGAATATTTGCGAATTCATGGGACTCCTGAAAAATCCTTAGGGGAAGGGGGCGCTTTGGGGGCTTTCTTGAGTTCGCTTTGGGCCACTCTTAAGGCCCGCTTGGGGCCTTCTTGGAGCCCTCCTGGGGCCCTTATTTACTTTTCTTGGCGCCAAAATAAGCCCTAGAAGGGCCAACTCTCGAAGGCTGCAGGAGGACCAACTTTTGAGGTCAATACTACGAAACTTACTACCACTTCGACCTACTGATACGACTTCTGCTACGACTACTACTGCTACAGCTACTACTACTACTTCGACTCCTACTACTACTACAACCACTACTATTCTTTCCTGCTTCTACTACTACGCCTACTGCTTTTAATAATATTACTCCTACTGAAGCGACGCCGACTACTACAACTACAACAACAACGGCTACTACTACTAGTACTGCTATTCGTGCTACCAGCACTACCACTTCTGGTACCATGGCTACTACTATACTCACTACTAGGACTCGTAGTAGTACTAGTACTAGTACTAGTACTAGTACTAGTACTAGTACTAGTACTAGTACTACTACTACTACTACTACCACTACTACTACCACTACTGCGACTGTTATTACTACTACTATAAGTATTGCCAATACAACTACTGTCACTACTACTACCACTACTGAGAGTGACCACGA